GGAGGAGGTTTAATTTGGTGGGTAGGAACTGGTGTGGCAAAAGTACAAACCTCAACCTGGAAATCAGCTATGTGACTTGCAGCAAATTACAAACCCTCTCTGCTCTTTGATTTCTTTGCCTATGAATTGGAATGATAATATCATTATCTGATAGGATTATAAAAGTTAATAAAATAATGCTATAAATTCTATAGTGTGTGCCTGGAAATGGTGTGTTCAATAAATGTTAGTTGCCTTTGGTATTATTGGTATTAATATTAACATTAGGTGACCATTAGCATTTTTAGCCAATATAAAGTGCCATGAGCCACTTTCAGAATTAATTAATCCTCATCTCATTCTTTGCCAATTTCAGCACTGATCAATTCTTATAAAGTTCCTCTCTGATTTCAATGATGGTGGCAGTTTTTCTCTCAAATGGCTGGATGCTTTAAGTGGCTTTTAGCCTCAATTGGAGGACCAGTTTGCCAGAATGTTGTTTAGAGAAAATGCATCTAATTTGCCAAAACCAAATTAACTCCTAATACACAAGGGGACATGTTTAAGCAGTAAACAGTTAATAAAAATATAAACACTTTTATTCTCCTTATTCCATGTGGGTTTAAATTTCATTATTAAACTTACACTTACATGTCCAGACAAAGCACACACAATTAGCCAGTTTAAAAAAATTACACCCTCTTCAGTTCAAATTACCTAAATTACTTATTCAGCCAAAGGATGATACAAAGTTTTCCCAACTCCCCAATAAGTTGGTTTTATTTTCCATCTATTGTGGGGTTTTTGGATGGCGTTTTTGTTTTTTGTTTTTTTTCTCCCTATCAAGTCTCATTAAGTACACTGGCCATATTTTGAACTAAACACTAATGTTGCAAGACATTTTATAATTCAATCTCTTTTATATGCCAGTCACAGCAGATCTTTCATTTTCAATATAATGTTATTCTCTATTGAGTCCTAAGGCAAAATCTTGTCATCGAACATATATGTGTGGGTGGGTGTGTTGCAAATGCAATCAATTAATTGACACATTACAGTTGAAATGACTTGCTGGCTCCATCCGCGTTGTTTCAGCAGAATTGCTCTCCTCTTATGTTAGAGATTTGTTAGATCAGACTTGACGATTTGTGGCCTCTGAGTGGGGCCTTTCTGGTGTCCTGGTACCTGGGCTTGGCTTTTTGGCATATGAAAGGACAAAGCCCCTGTGTCTGTTGCCCAGTACTCATGCAATATGGTCCTTTCCATGCAGATGATGCCTCCCTCCTTCTGTGCAGACAGAAGGGCCCTCTTTCCTGGTGGGGTGTGTCATAACTGTGTTTCTGATGTTAACAAATAGGGGGCAAGGCTGTCAGAGCAAGTCTGAGATTCAGCTCTTGTATGCATAAATAAATAAATCTTCAAAAAAAAAAAAAAAAGTCTGAGATTCAGAAGGGAAAACCTGATAGGATCAATCTCCAGGGAGTAACAGTCCAAACATTTACTGACTAGAGGGCTCTGTAGAGGCCTCAGCATTCACTGTGGTTAGATGCCATGAGTTGAGGCCCACATTCCAGACACAGGAGCAGGAAGCAGGCGACCCCACACCAGCTGCCTCTTCCTCAAAGAAGCCCTGCCTCCCTTTGTCCTTCTGTATTAATGGACTTTCTCTAATGATCTTTGAGAAGGTTCTCATTCTAGCTAATCTTTAAGGGATCTTTAGGGGCAGGATGCCTTTCCTTTAAATCGCCTTTCTGCAGACAGGTTTCCGATCTGATTCAAGGCCACATCCTGGGCATCTGGTTTCTGTAGCTCAAAGAATTACTGCTCCTGATGAATTGCTCTACGTTCCAAGGCTACTGCTGTCACATTGCATTCTCTGATCATTTTCCAGGTCTCCCCTACACACATTTAGTCTCTCTCTGTCTCTCTGTTTCTCTGTCCTCAACCCATTAGGCCCCTCCCCCATGTAGCATGCAAGACAAATTTTAAGTCAAAACACAACAGCAAGACCTAAGCCAGCATAGCACCTGAAGTACGGAGTAGATGTTCAAAAATGATGCGCTGAATGAAAAGCTTTGGAGCCCTGCAGTGAGGAACGGAGGTGGGAATTTCACTTCCAAGCCTCTGCAGCTTCTCACAGAGTATCTGCCAGCCCCAGGGTGCAAGTGAGGGAGGGGCACATTTTATTTATTTATTTTTAAAGATTTATTTATTTATTCATACAAGCACTGGGTACAGTCAGAAGTGTGGGAGGGTGAGAGAATTCACCAGAGCCAGAGCAGGGAGCAGAACAGACAGACAGACGAAGTACACTGCTGAGGGGAGCAGTGGGCGGCAGAAGCCTCCCCAGTGGCACAGCGGTTGAGCTCTGGGTTGCGAAGCTGCCCGTAGCCTCTGTGGCGCCGGTTCGATCCCCGGCTGCTCCCCGGCCACCAGAGGAGGGTCCCACATGGCGCGCAGACCTCTCCTGCCGCCCGCTGCTCCCCTCAGCAGTGTACTTCGGTCCTTCTGCCTGCTCTGCTCCCCGCTCTGGCTCTGGTGAATTCTCTCACCCTCCCGCGCTTCTGACTGTACCCAGTGCTTGTATAAACAAAACAAACAAACAAACAAATAAATAAATAAATAAAACATGCCTCTATAAAAAAAAAAAAAAAAAAAAAAGAGGTCTCTGTGCCATGTGGGACCCTTGCCCAGCGACCAGGGATCGAACCAGTGCTGCAGATGCTGCGGGCAGCTTCGCAGCCCAGTGCTCAACCGCTGCACCACCAGGGAGGCCCGAAGGCCACATTTTAGAGGGCTCAATAGCTGGTTCCTTGATAGAAGGGGGTGAGAGTGAGCTCTGCATCTCTGGATAAGCACAACCACTTGAGGGGGGCAGCTACAGGTTTGAATGAAACCTCAAATGGGGGAGTTGAATTGACAAGTCTTCAGGGCCCCTTTTAATGATGAGATTTCTTGAGGAAGGAAAGGGGAAGTGGTAGAAGGAAAAAGAACAAAGTGGAGAGATGGGGGAGGTGGAAATGAAAGAATAAACTCTAAAAGGAAACAGAAAGAAAGGTCTGAGGTTGGAGACCGTTTTGTACCAAACAATGGGACAGAAACTGGAAAACTCCAGAGAGGGCTGGTATCTGGGTGGGCAGTCAGAGGAGTGTCAGGCACCCCAGACCTCCACTTCCATCACACACTGCTTCCTGTCTTGTGTGCTGACCCTTTGGGCTTGGCTTGGCACAGGGACCATGAGGCCTAGGAAGCTTGACCTGGGACAAGAAGGGGCAGACCTCTTAGCAAACCTGAACATTCCCCTGAAGGCGCTCAACATCCTAAGTGGTCTCCAGAAGGGCCTTCCATCCTTGCCACAGGGTGGGGGATAGAGGAGACAATGACAGGAAAGGCCCTTCTCTGCTCTGCCCTAAGCCCGGAGAACAGGGTGGGACCAGAATGGATAAGCACTCACAGCCCACCAGGCCTGTGCCCAGACACAGTCATGGGGAAGGATTCCTGAGCCAGTCATAACAATTGGGTCAACCCCTGACCCCTGTTCAGAGGCAGGCTTTGCTGGTAGAACAAAGCAGCCGTTTACTTATAAGACAGCTCTGAGCTTCAGCTCGGATATCAGGGTGCCTGTAGTGACAGGGCTCAAACCCTGGCCCTCAGAGGGGAGTTTTTCTGCAATAGCTTTGCTGTTCCAGACAGGGCACCAGAGTGGGGTCCTTGGGAAGTGTCACACCACCACCTCTGCCAGGAGACAGGCTGGGCTGGATACTGGGGGTTTGCCCCTGGGCCTGGTCCCAAACCTGGCCTGGTTCAATGAGATGATCTGCCGCCCACAGGGAGGGAGGAGAGGAGAAGGGATTGGAAGCAGGAAGAAGGGAAGATAGAGGAGGAAATTCACCAGATCCTCTGTTTCCTTTTTCTCCTCTTCCACTGCCCTTTCTGGCCACCCCCTCTCCAGAGCCCCTGGGGGCTTCAGCTGAACCCACAGTCAGGCAAACCCCAGGGCTTCTGCTCCAGGTTCACTAGGAATCTGCACCCACAACTGATCCCGCTGTCTCTCTTGTTCTTACCCACGAAGTCCCATTTTTAAGACTATTATTTCAGCGTAATTTCAACCCAGAGGGTACATGTGTGTCCATCCACCTTAGCGCCCCACAGCTTCCCATACCCCCCAGTTTCCCATGCAGGATAATCAGCCCTCCCCGACACACTCACAGCACTGGGGACAGGGCGAAGCTTTTATTGTTTTGTGGAGTCAGCTTTGCCAGGTGCCACCCTTTTCTGTTCCCCATCATTATCTGCCCGGGACTTTGTGACTTCTTTTGCTCAATCTATAGCAGCCTGGCCCCTCTGGGGACCCCACCCCCTTGCTGCCAACAGAGGAGAACTCACAGTCTGGTACTGAGACACAGAAGCTGGGGACGTGCTCACACACTGCCACACCTGCTGCAGAACTGTCTGGAAGCCAGGACCGTGCACACACACAGCACACTCACGCACACACTCCCTGCTCAGTCTGTGGAGCCCCATTCTCCCCTCCAGCACGTTCTCCCCTCCCTGCACCCCGCTGCTGGCCACTGGGGGTTCCCTCATCCTCCCCCTGTGTGGGGGCTCCGCGAGCAGGCCCCCTGGCAAAATCACAGGACCATCAAACAAGCACGAAATCACACAAAGGATCCCAACGGGAGGATCCCAGGGGATCCTTCCTTCTGAGGTTTCCTCTTGCTCGCCCCAGTTTTCCCGCCTCTGTCCCCCACAAAGGACCACAGAGCCCGGTTCAAATCGACTGTTTTATTGACTGTCTAGGTACAGACGCGTGTAGAAAAAGGGCGCGGGCCCCGGGGACTGCTCCGCCCCGGGCCGCACTTGTGCTGCGCTTCGCCGACAGGGCAGGTCCCCAAGCCCCAGCACCCCCCACCCCCCAACCCCGACCCTTCCTGCGGAATGAAAAAAAGAAGACCCCAGCCCGAGTGCCCTCGCGGCTCCCACCCGCTCTGCCCCTCCCTCCCCGCCCAGCCGCCCCCCGCCCCCCTACCCCCCACTACACGGTTACACTCGACAGGACAGACTTTCTGCTACGGGGCGCGCCGTCTAGGACCGCGCGCGCGGCCAGAATTCTCGCGCCAGGAGGAGGCAGGGCGGGGAGACGCGAGCACCGGGGGCTATTTTCCCCGCGGGTCCCGCCAGCACCTTCACGCGCCGGCTGGGGAGAACCAGGGCGCAGCCCCCCTGGAGACCCGGCCTGGGGCGCACGGGTGCTCCCTACGGCGGGGGCTGCTGGGGCCGGGGTCCGGGCGAGGCGCAGCCGTGGAACCGAGCGGTCGAGGGCCCCGATCTCTGAAAACCGCAGCTCAGCCTCAACGAAACTGGCCTTGGCCCCGGCCCCAGCCCGCGTCTGCGCTTAAGAAGGGCACGGGTTGCGCCCGGCTTTCAGTTAGGAGCGAGGGGCGAGCAGACGGATTCCCTCCCCGCGAACGCTCACCCCACCGCACCCCACCCCCAGAGGTCGGGAAGGGAATGCTAGCACCAGACCTGCAGAGTCGCTGTCTTTGGAAACAACGAAAATACGAAAATCAGGGCGCGGAGCTGAAAGGCGCCGCGGGCACCCGACTGGGCCCCAGCTGGTCGGAATAGAGAGGGGGTGGGGAGCCAAAAAGGTGGCGTTCCCTGCCGGGAGGGGACTTGAACACTAAAAAACGAGGGACTTGCCACCGAGTCGTGGTTTCTGCAAAGCGCAACCGAAAAGGGCGGAGCAAGGCCGGGGAGGGGCCCCCCGCGGCGCCCCAGTCCAGACTTCTCTGCCGGGACGCGCTGACCCTGCGGCCGCAGCGCGACCACCAGACGCTCCGGGCGTCCAGCCGCGTCTCCGCTGACTCCTGCGCCCGTCGAGGACCGGGCTGGAGGGTGAATTTTGCAGATAACAATTGTGATGGGGATGGAGAGCGTGGGTTTCGCCTCGCGGCCAGCGCACGGCCTCTATATAGCGAGGACGCGCAGGTGCTTCACTGGGCAGGAACTTCAGTTCACACGGGCAGGACAGTCGTGGGCGGCAGGAGGGCTGGTCAAGTCGGGCTCCTCCCAGTAGAAGCCCCAGCGGCCAAGATGGGGCGGTAGTGGGAATAAGAAGTAGGGGTGTATAGGGGGCCAAGGGGGGGGGGTCATAAATCTAGCCAGCCCTAGGCCTCAGCTCCCAGGGACCCAGGTGGGGGTTGGGAACGGCGGGCCGGGGACTGGGGTTCAGCCAGCCGTCTGCCGGTAGTTGCCGTTGATCTCCGGGGCGATGTTGACCGCCTCGGCCCCCAGGGGCAGCCGGTCGCTGTATTCGGAGCCGGCCTCGAACTCCTCCTGGTTGGCCTTGGACTGGGACTCCACCAGCGAGCAGGCCGCCAGGCTCTCCTCCCTCTGCAGGTCCCCAACGGGGTCCCCCTGCTCCGCGTCTTCCTCCAGGCCCTCCCCGGGGACCTCCTCCGGCTCCTCCCCGCCTGGCCCCGCGCCGGCCGGGTAGCTCTTCTCCGACTCGAGGTAGGAGGCGCGCGGGTCGAAGTCCGCGGCGATGCGCTTCTCCATGGGGTCCGGGGCCTGCGGCCGCAGGATCAGACGGTAGGGCTTGCCCGGGTGTTTGGCCAGCAGATGGCAGCAGGCCGCGCCCAGCAGGGGCACGGTGGCCAGCACCAAGAGGAAGACACTCACCGCCACGATGACCAGCAGGGAAGGCAGCTCCTTCTTGGTGGCGAACACCACCTGCACGTGGCAGGCCTCGCCGGCCAGCGCCAAGCACACGGAGTAGTTGGTGCCGGGCTGCAGGCCGCGGAACCAGTAGGCGTTGACGCCCTCCTCCACGCGCGACCACTGCACCGCCGCGCCGCCCCCGCGGGGCACAGGTACAGCAGGCGCACCGGCCGCCGCCCGGGCCGCCCCGCCCCGCCCACCCCGTCGCCGCCAGAGCCCCGGCGGGCGGCGAGCGGCATGAGCTGCACTCGCGCCTCGCGCTCCGCCACGTCCAGCGCGATGACACCCAGCTCGAAGACGTGCGGCTTGAGCTCCGCGCTCTGGTTGAACGCGTGGTTGGACACGTACCGCGCGGGGTCCCCGCGGCCGCAGCGCTGCTCCTCGGCCGCGTCGCCGGGAGGGTCTTCCTGCTCCGCGCCCTCGCCGAGCTCCTCCTCCGGGGTCCCCTCCGTGTCCCCGAGGACGCCGACCCGGGCCAGACCTTGGCCTTTGGTTTTGCTCTCGGGCTTGGAGGGCAAAACGCTGTTGCCCCTGCCCTTGGCCGTGAACTTGCGCTCAGAGGAAGGCGTCTGTCCATCGGGGTCTCCCCCCGCGCCAGGGGAGTGCTTTGGGGGACTGGCCGCCGCCACCGTCACGCGGACTGCCGTGGCGTTGGAGCCCAGCTCATTGTGCGCACGGCACGTGTAGACGCCCGCCTCCTTGGTGCTCAGGACGGGCACCAGCAAGGAGCCATTTGTGAGGGCCAGGAAGCGCGGCGAGGCCGGGGGCGCGGGCCAGGCGGGTGCGGGAGACGGAGTTGGGGCCTCGGTCTGTGTCGGCTGGTCCTCATCTCCATCCTCCAACCCGTCGTCCGCCCCGTCCCCGCCGCCTGCTCCACTGAGGGCCGGCGGCTCTAACACGACAGTGCCCCCCGGGATCTGAAGTTGCCACTGCAGGCGGGGCGTGGGGTGTCCTTCGGCGATGCAGTGCAGTACGAGCGTCTGGCCCGCGCGCAGGGGGCTGCCTGGCTCCTCGGGTGGCGGCTCGGGGCTCAGACGCACCGTGGGCGGCGCGCAGGACAGGGCCGGCAGGCGGTGGATGGGCACCCCTTGCAGCTCGGGAGGCGAGGCGCACGCGATGGAGTCGGGCTCCGGTAAGGACACCCGAGTGCTGGCAGCCCAGGCCTGCAGCCACACCAGGCTGCAGCTGCAGTGGAAGGGGTTGTGGTAGAGCTGCAGATGGGACAGCGCGCTCAGCGCATCGAAAGTGCCGGGAGCCAAGGTGCGCAACCTGTTGTTGTTGATGCGCAAGGAGCGCAGGTCCGGCAGCGCGCCCAGGGCGTCCCGGGGCAGCGAGCTCAAGCGGTTGTGATTCATTTTGAGCAGCTGCAGCGCGCTCAGGTTGCGCAGGTCACTCCACGGGAAGCTAGAGATGAGGTTGTAGCTCAGGTCGAGGTTTTTGAGCTGACTCAACACGGCCAGGGCGCCGGCCTCCACCGTGCGCACCTCATTGTGGGCCAACCACAGCGACGTGACCTGCGTAACGTCGGCGAAAGCCCCGCGCCGCAGCACCGCGATCTTGTTGGCGGACAGGCTGAGCGTGGTCACGTTGGCGGGCAATCCCTCCGGCACCTCCGTCAGCTCCTTGTAGGCGCAGTCCGCGAACTGGTGCGCATACTTGTCCACGCAGCCGCACGGCGCTGGGCACGCGCCCGCCACTCCCAGCAGCGCCCAGGCCAGCCCCAGCAGCCGCAGCGGCATCATCGCGGGTCCTGCAGAGGGAAGCCGGGGAACGGGAGGAGGTGACTCGGTTTCCCCTCCTCCCCAGCAACCAGTTGCTCCGAAATCCTGGCCAAAGCAAGCCCCGGGGCGCTGGTAGCTTGCCCTCGGGGCCCAGGAGACTTTTTTGAGCACGAGTGGTCTCAGGGAAAGCCTCCGGATTCAATTCCTGCTTCCTCTCGGGACCCCGAGACCCCTTTCCAGAGGATTCTTACCTCCCTCTTTTTTTCTTGCCTGAACCCTCACCCTGGCGCTGGACCCTCCACAGCGCCGCCGCTCACTGAGGTGCCCTGGCTTCTGCACTGACTCGTCTGCGGTCCCCAGCCTTGTTTAACCCCGTGAAAGGGATGCAGAGAAAGTGTATTTTTGTTCCTGACCGGCTGCCCTCCCTCGAACTCTTTGTCCCACCCACGCACAGCACCTGCACCCACAGCCATGCACGAGCACAACAATGCAAACACCCGCGCCGGGGCTGCCATCTCACCGCCAACTTCTGCAGGGGGTTAGAGGTTCATAACACACCTCGTACACACGCACACACACACACACACGCACCCAGACGTGAACACCGTATACCCTGGGGACCTCATTGTTCTCTCAGGCTGCACCCAGGCATGTGCACAGCGTTTTCCACCACGAGGCAAAGCACTTTTCTGTTCATTGTGAGCATCGATAGACACAAGGGCACAAGTCCTCTCGCGAACCGACCCCTGCGCGCGCGCACAGGGATACAGGTGCGCCCTTGGATGAGCACAAAACCCTCCGCTGAGACTGAAGCCCCAATGGATCGCAGTGCAAGAACTTGGGGTGGTGGGAGAGAAAGACCTGTGGGACCCGGGGAAGGCCCTCTCCGCTCTGGTCGAGGCTCCCACGAGGGAGGAACCAGGGCTTTCTCCTGGCACGGACCAGGACCGCGGGGATCGTCAGTAAAGATTCCCCTTCTGGCCCGTCGGAGCCCCGGCGGCTGGGGGAGGGGGTGGAGTCCCAATCGACAGGTCCCCTATCTACGGAGGCAGAAGGCACTAGATGGTGCTCCTTTCCCGCAGCTCCTCCGCGCTGGACCCCGCTCCCCGCCCCCCTAAAACCCTCACATCCGCAGCCACACACACACACACACACACCACACACACACAGACTCCCTGCCCCCATCTTGGGCTCGCACGGGTTGGGCAGAGCCCCTCCCACACGCGGCCTTTGGGAATTCCGATTCCACACCCCCCACTACCCCCAACACACACACTCCGCCTTTGCTCCGGGGGCACCAGGGGGAGAGCACCTCCCCTCCCCTCCGAGTCTGGCGGTCAGGGTGCCGCCGGGCTCGTGCGCCCACACCTGGGTGGGTGCGGTGGGGCAGTCCTCCAGGCTCACCCGCTGCTGTCCGACTCCCGGCGCGCTGCCCTCGGGCTGCAAGCTCTGCTCCAGACGGGGTGTCGCGAAGCCAGGACGACAGCCCAAGGGCGAGTCCCACATCTGTTGCAGGGGCTGTGGGAAAGATGGGGGGCGGGGGCAGAGAAGACAGGTAAGTGTGGGGACTCCCTTGGCCCGGAGGTGCCACTTCAGCTCTTTCTTTTGCTCGTCTTTCTCCCACGTCCCGCCTGCTGCCGATGGAAGAGTCCTCGCGCGCGCCCGGGCTCGTCAGGGACGCGCACAGCCTCTCCCACCTCCTGCTTCGGCTACATTTGTTAAAGCCGTAGACGTTCTCCCGGTGGCCCAAACAGGTTGGTCGCCGGGGCGCCCCCACGCCCATCACCTCCATTAACCCCCCCCCCATTTACACATCTGCTGACTTGGTCTCTCCCCCTCCCTACCCCGTGCCCTCCCCGCGCGCAGACGCTCAGACACAGAGAGCCTCGCACGACCCGCGGGCAGCCTTCACAGGGGAGAACCAGCCGTGGTCACGGCATGATCGCGCCCAAGTGTTGCGCTCGCGCTGCTCCCCCGCACATTGCCCCAGGCACAGCGTCGCCGGGACCCGCGCCCTCCCGCGCGCCCACGCAGCGGCGTCCACTCACCCTCGCGCGCCGGTCCCTCCAGGCCCGCCAACTTCGCTGCTAATTGCACGCGAGCTGCTTTTACACCCCGCGACACGTGAGACAAACCATCTTTGAGGAATTTGGGGGAAAGAAAGGCGCACAACGGGGGTGGGGCGTGTCTTTGCTTTGAAACTCTTTTTGCAAGGCGCGCGGCGGCGCGGGCAGACCTGGAGCGGAGTGGCGCGCAGCCCGGCTCGCGCGGGCGCTGCCTGCCCGCACCCTCCCCCTGCTGGCCTCCTCCTCCCCGAAGCCACGTTCAACACGATGCATAATTGATGGTGTTAGCAGAGCACCTCACCCTCCCTGCCATTTTTTTTTTTTTTTTTTGCCTGGATCTGGGCAGACACGAGCTCTGGACTCCGCCACCCCCACGAGTCCCACCCGGGGAAGGGAACCAAGACCCAGCAGGGCGCGCGGGGCAGTGACCGCCTCCTGCCCAAATCACTGCCGTCCCCGCCGAGCCTCTTAAAGCCCAATTCCTAACCTCTGGTCTTTAGTGGCTAAGCCAGCGCTTGGAGCCCCGGACCTGCGCGCAGGCGGTGTGGACTGTCAAGCTGGGCTCCCCGAAAGCCGGCCTGAATGCACCCAGGCGCTTCGCTTGCCCGCTGGAGGCGACGCGGTGCGGGTGTTGCAGCCGGGAGCAGCAGGAAAAGGGATGCCTGCAGATGTCTGCTCTTCTGAACACCGTGGGCTGCGGACTTAAGGCCCCAGCATCTCTCTCCCTCCTCTTCCCCAGCCAGTCTCTTCGCAGCCTTTCAGGCAAACGCACCATCCACCCCACACACGATCCCCCAAGCCTACGCAGCCCCCACCGCCCCACAGTCTCACACCCTCACACAACAGCTGGCCTCTGCAGACTCCAGGACTCCTTCCTCTCTGTTCCCGGCTCTCCCTGTCTCTGACAAAACCTGGACATTTCTTTCAGCGACAAGCAGGTGGAGGCGAGGGCATGTCGCCTAAAACCGGATTTCTGCGCCCCCCCCCCCCATTTCCTCGCTGCCAACAGCAGCCCTGGAGGCAAGAATTGGAAAAGGAGTCACAGGTTCTGGGGGTCACGCAGAGCCTCCCGCACCCCCATCTTTTCGGGGGGACACTGAGCCCTTGGAGGACAAATTCCCCTCCCCCAGCCTTCACCCGGGCGGCGAGGTCTCAGGGTGTGGGTCGATGGCGCGGGTTTGGGGCCTCTGCGGCGATCAATCTTGGGATTTGAGTGTGGAGCATTTTAATGAGATGGGGAGGGGGGGGGGCTAGGAGCGCTGCATCTAAAGAGACCACCAAGCAAAGGTTCCAGGAATCCTTTGTAAATTAGAAACCAACAGACTGGCGCGTGCCGAGTGCCAGGCTTCCCTCTGCACCTCCTGCCGTCGCTGCGGGCAGCCCAGCCGGCTGGAACCACCGCGTCGGCTGCGCCGGGAAGCAGAACCCCAACTTCACGCTGCCGACTGGGGCCCGCGGTCTGCACAGCCGACCCCACGGAGGGCGTGGGGACGCCCCCTGGGAGAAGGAGTCTTCGGGGAGGGCGGAGGGTGAGCGCCCCTTAACCCGGGCAGCCCCGCGGGCCCCGAGCCGGAGAGTCGGCGCCTGCGGGTGGGCTGGGCTGGGCTGGGGCGGGGTGCGCCGGGCCCGCGGGGCAGAGCCTCTTTGTCTGCGCAGCCGGGGGTGGGAGGCTCCCTGGGCGCAGGGTCGCGTCTAGGGAGTCCTAGGGGGGCGGTTCTGGGAGCCACGTCCCTGGAATAGGAGTTTGGGGAGCCGGGGCCCAGCAGCCCGGGTCCCTGAGGGCGCGCCCGGGAGACTTCCCCGCGCGGGGGTGGGGCGCGCGCCTGGCTTGGAGCAGGGACCCAGGCTCCCGCGTGGAGGCGCCCTGCTCGTGGGCCTGCACCCAGTTTTCCCCTCTTTTCTGGCTCCTTTTGCCTGGGGCGAAGGGGCGGGCGCGGGGCGGGCTGCGGGCGGGGAACTTGGAAGGGTGGCGGGTGGGCAGGAGTGGAGTGCAGCGACGAGCGGCCCGGATCGCTGGGACCAGCCCCGTCAGCGTCCCAGACACCTCCAGGGTCCCGGAGTCGAGGCCAGAACCCCTTTCCTTGCTGTCTTCCGAGGGGAGCTGAAAGGGCCGCGCGCGGGCAGCCGAGGGCAAGGCGGCCCACCCAGACCGGGGCGCCGCCCCCCGCGGGCCCCCGAGGCCACCCCCTCCCCGCGCGCCGCACGCACACCCCCCCCACCCCACCGCACCCCACCCCCGCCCGTCGCTTTTGTTCCGCGCGCCCTGGCGGGGGGGGGCACGGGGGGGGGGAGACAGCCCTTACCCCCGCCTTGCACCCTGGAGAGCCCGCTCTGGCGGGGCTGGCGCCCGAGTCCCCGCGCGCACGAGGGCAGGACCCGCCACGCCGGGGAAGAAGCCGCGGCGCGGAGTTCGGCCCCCGGGAAGGCTGCGCGTCCCCGCCCAGCGCCGCCCTGCGCGCCCAGGGGGTGCCAAGTCTGTCCCGCCTAATAACGGTGCGGCTGCGGGCGGGCCGGGGAAGGAAGAAAGGATCCCACACCCGCCGCCCACGTCTTTGATCGTTAAAGAAATAGGCGCCTCGTCAGGTGTGTGGAAGTAGGTGCGGGGCGAGAACCGATTCAAGGCTCCACCGTGCAGAATCTGGGTAAGGATTTGTGACCAGGCTTTGAGGTCCCGACCCTCGGCAGACCCAGGGGCAGAGATCGGACAATGCAGACAGCATTCTTGCGGGTCGGCCTTTCACGCCGACCTCGCCCATCCAAGAGGTCCCGGGTGTGGAGCGGCTAGAAACTCCGGGAATCCGGCCACTGGTTCCCCTGCCTCTGTCCGCGCGGGGTGTCGGGCCCAGGTCTGGTCCGTGCGCTCCCCCTGCTGGACACTACCTGCCGGGTGCAGCGCCCTGGGCAGCGCCAGGCGGGGACTGGACAGGGAGAGCTGCAGCCAGAGCCAGGCCCCAGCGCAGGAGCGGTCCTGGACTCTGCTGTCCCTCCGCCTCCCAGTGCCCCAAAGTGAGGGACACTACACCAAGGCCCAGAAGTTTCCTTCATCTACCTACCCAGACTCATTCCAGGAATCTACAACCTCGTCTCTCCTGCCCAACACAGGGCTGTTTTCCAGCTTCCTGCCCCCTTGTTTCCAGAGCCCAGGGTGGGGTAGGCATCCTCCATACATTGAAGGAGGCTGCTGGCATGAGGGCATGAGCTTATTCTCCTGGGAAGAAATCTTTCCCCATCCCTTCCTTTGGCCTGAGCACAAAAGTGAGTCTTCTACAGGCCCTGGAAGACTTTGTCTTAAGACTTTGTCAGGGGCCTATAAAATGTCTAAGACCAGAAAAAGAAGGGAAAAGAAAATTGCAAAATTGAAAGTAATAGATGTTTGATTAACTGTTTAGGATGGGTAACAGTATACAAATGATTCAGCTGCAACTACTGCTGGTTGTGTGTGCCTCTGTATTTGATGTGGCGGGTGGATGATTAATGGACGTGGGAGAACCTGTGAGAGTCAGAAAGACAGGGCCCAGCAGGACATTAAATATCCCCTGCACAGTGCTTGCTTGGGCAGCACATGTGCTAACTATCCCCAGCACAGCGGCCTGCCCCGGAGACCTTCCCCTCAGTTGCTCTCCAGCCAGAGTCTCCTAAACCAGGACTTCCCACCTTGCAGTGTCTGCAATCCTGGCTTCACCGCCCCCCCCCACACACACACCCAGGACACGCACATTTGTTATTGCAGTTTCCCAGAGGAATCAGGCGGCACTCAGAGAGATGGAGAGAGAGATTGACTTGTCACACTGCCAGGCTCAGTGGGATCGCTCCCAAAAGCCTGAGGCCTGAATTGCAGGAATGGTAAGGTTTTATACAGTTCATATGAGGAAGCTTGTTACCCATCCATCATAGACTTTCTTTCTTGTTTGGGAAGGGAGTGAAGGTAGCCTGGATGCTACTGTGGGCGAGCAGCACACTGCAGGAAGTTTCTGCTCCAGCAAGCAGCAGAGTCCAAGCAGCACACTTAGCAACTTCCTGCTTCACATTCGCTTAGCGTTGGGCCACTCTGCCCAGGAAGCGGCTTTCCCTTTCTTATCCCCGGCAGAAAGCTCACCTTTTGGGAAGCCAGTCCCTATTTATTAAGCTCTCCTCTTTCCTGCCACCCCTCCTTTCCCTCATACATGTTCTATGTAGTGGTTGGGAGGAAAGGTTCTGGCCTCAGATTCTACCATGTACTAGCGGTGTGACCTTGGCCAAGTTACTTAACTTCTCTTGGAGAAAAAAGGGTATGAATTAGAAAAACTCTTTTACTGGGTTGCTATGGGGGTTAAATTAGTCAGTGCATGCAAAGCACCTAGCCCCAGGCACTTAGTGCTCAGAAGTGAGCAATTATTTTTTTCAACAATGGCTAGAATTAGCCATCTTGATTGTCTTGCACAATTGGGTACAGGTTTGATGGGAGGTTCTGCTGCACAGGCCCCTGCAACCTTGTGTCCTGTCTCCACTATTTTTGTCACTAACTCCCCCCTCCCTACACACACACACACACGTGCACACGCACGCACACACACACACACACAGAGCTTAGGTCTTGACCAGCATTGCTACAATTATTTGTAAATTTTTCTGGTCTCATATACTTAGATCCAAATTCTCCTGTCACGGATGCCTATTTAGGAAGATAGACCTGCAGCTGCAGCCTTGGTGGAAGTTTTTAATTAAAGCCACAATCTGTTTAAGTATTTATGGGCTTTATAACTTTAATTATTTTCTAGGGAAAAACAAAAACTCCACATTTGCATCTGGGAAGACTGTTGATTTCAGAGGAAAGTGGCAACCTGTGGCAGTTTGCTGGAGGCAACAGCGAGGAATTTTCTGAATGGTTCAAATGAAGCTCGACATTATTAATAATCTGGGATCCAGTCCATGACCTTCCTCCCAGAGCTTTCATGAAATTAGTTTAACATGCTGGCAAGGCCCTTTATTGCCATCAAAATTAACGACAGCTCTTCCAGTGGCATCTCATGTAATTATCTGGGTCTAAGCTTGTCTGAAGCTGGGGAACTCCTGCCTGGAAAAGCAACACTGCTTCCCATGAGGGGCTCGTGCTTAGCTGTTCTCCCCAGCCCAGCCCAACGGGTTCTTCCTGGGGGCAGGGTGCACCACCACAGCATCTCCCAGGCAGGGCGATGTAGGGGAAGGGATGGCAGATATATCCAGCTGCAGATAATAAATTCCCATCTCAAAGGGCTTGAAAGTGTTAAGCAAAAAGCAGGTCTGGTTAATTCAGGTTCTTTCTGTCTCTCTCCTTTGTCCCCTTTGTAACAGGGTTTCAGCCTGTTACGGCCCTTGGTGCAGTCAGAGTGTTTCAGCAGTGGCTGGGGTAATATGCTCACGGGTAACAGACCAGGAGGCTACCGAGTCTGGATTCTCTCTCTTTTTTTTTAAAGATTTATTTATTTATGCATACAAGAACTGGGGTGCAGGTGGTGAGAAGATTCACCAGAGGTGCAGGTGGTAAGAAGATTCACCAGAGACAGAGTGGGGAACAGAACAGACAGACTGACTGAAATACACTGCTGAGGGGAGCAGTGGGCGAGACAGGAGAGGTCTGCCGTGCCATGTGGGTAGCTCCCTAGCCAGGGATTGAACTTGTGCTGCAGAGACTGTGGAAAGCTTCATAGTGCTGTGCTTAACCCCATGCACCACCAGGGAGATCCTGGATTCTCTTTCCAGAAGCTATTTCTCCGTAGGTCTTAGGACTCTGTACCCCTGAGCCAATCACTGGCAAACGGCAGGAACTGACTTGTTTAAAGTAATTTAGAGTAGACACTACAAGCAAGAAATCCCCTTTAAACAGGAGGGCTGGGAATTGTGTGGTCAGAGTAATCTAATATCGTGTCCAAATAAACTGAAATGAGAGTGACATAATTACAGATACACCACAGTCGTTACCCCTTCTGTGGAGATTAGACATCTCTGTCCTCAGCCTGTGAGCTGACTCAGATCAGGGCTGAGTATTGACCAGGACTAGGGCTCAGTGTGTAGCCAGGTTTAGATCCCAGTGTGTGACCAGGACTAGGGCTTAGTGTGTGACCAGGATCAAGGAACACTCTGGGGTAGGCAGACAAACTAGAAGATTCTCTGCTTTCACAGAATTCTTGAAAGGCGAAAAATCTGTTCTTGAAAATGCCTGTGCTGGGATCCAAAGCTATTTTGGGAGCAGTGGAAGCTTCAGCCTTTCGTTGCATATTGACGAACGAGAGTTGTTTATGAACGCAAAGCTGTTCTACAGGACTTCACATCCTGAACATGTCATCCGGTTCCGTGGCAGCGAAGAGAGGCACTTCACTCTCGAGGTGGCAAACAGAAGGAAGAATCTAGCCTGGTCTTACCAAGAATGCAGAGGCAGCTCACAGCTGCCAACTTCCCACCCTCGCTGGGTGATCTTAAACAACTCTGCCCTCTCTGCTGAGTTTTCTCCCCTGTGAAGGTGGGCAGGCTAGGGGTGCTCTGAGGCCCTCCCAGGGTTCTATTCTTTCCTTGGAGCCGTGATTAAAGAAGCCAGTTTGCAGGTTGAGCTGGGGCCTCTCAGGACCTCTGGGGCTCCCTGCAGGACCAGTCTTCTCAGGTCTCACATATGGGGACCACAGCTCGCCTTCCTCATGCCTTTGCGCAGTTTCTTCCATCACGCTGCAACCTGGCATCTCTTGAGGTCAGCAGCACACCTGGGCTGGGAGCTCCTTCCCCAAACTACTGCTCATTACACTGTGGTTAGGCAAAGTCCTGCTTCTAAACAACCCCCCAAAGGCCCTTCACCTGGTAGGATTTAGGGGGAGCAGGGAGCCAAGATCACTGAAGATATCAGGATCCTCCTGTCTGGGCCCAGGAGGAAAGACAAAGCTGCCAGGGGCTCCCTGGTTGGGGTGAGGGTGGGGGGGCAAACAGGAAGGAAACCCATCTCCTCCAGCAGGACTGGTCACTCCTCCCTGACCTGACATCCTCATTTCTCCATTGCATGGTTCCATCAGAGGAACTGAAGAGAGGCCACAGAAAACACCCTTTGGGTCACCCCACCAGAGCCCATGAGGCTAAGGGCATCTCTTCCTCCTCCCTGCCCAGGCTTAGTGCTCCTGGCAGGTCACCCGGAGCCTTCTCATCCACAGTCCCCATCGAAGCCCGGGTCAGAATACCATGGGCACACTGGGCAAGGAATAAACTGAATTTCCTCCCTAGTATCTTCAGTCTCTCACTACCAACAGGCTCTTCGCTTCTTTCAGAAGTGGTTTCCCAGAGCAGATCTGAGATGAGTGTCCTTGTGCATGGGCTTGACAGTGGACATGCCTCAGCAGAAATGTGCAAGGGGAAGGGGAAGCAGGAGAGGAAGGGAAGAGGCCCAGCCGGGGTGGG